AGCTCGACTCACATCTGTCAGTCCACTCGAACTTCACAGACTTCCTGGTCAGCTGGAACAGAGGGAGGGCAATCTTGGAAAAGCCCTCGATGAACCTGCGATAGTATCCAGCTAGACCGAGAAAACTGCGAACCTCAGTCGGACTCGTCGGTGTCGACCAGTTCTGAACGGCTGAAACCTTGGAAGGATCCACCTCGATACCTGCCTGAGTAATCACATGACCCAGAAAGGATACTCGCTGGAGCCAGAACTCGCATTTGGAGAATTTTGCAAACAACTTTTCTCGTCTGAGGGTTCCAAGAACCACCCTCAGATGCTCCTCGTGCTCCTTCTTGCTCTTCGAGTAGACAAGAATATCGTCAATAAAGACAATAACAAACTGATCGAGGTAGGAATGAAAGATACGGTTGATGAGATCCATGAAAACTGCTGGCGCATTGCTGAGACCGAAAGGCATGACTACGAACTCGTAATGGCCGTAACGAGTCCTGAAAGCGGTCTTAGCGATATCTGACTCCTTGATCTTCAGCTGATGATAGCCTGATCGAAGATCAATCTTTGAGAACACACAGACTCCCCTCAGCTGATCAAATAAGTCGTCGATCCTGGGAAGCGGGTACTTGTTCTTGATCGTCAACCGGTTAAGATCCCGGTAGTCGATACACATGCGCATGGATCCGTCCTTCTTCTTAACAAAGAGAACGGGTGCTCCCAAAGGTGACACGCTCGGTCGGATGAAACCGAGTCGTAACAACTCCTGAATCTGCGCCTTAAGCTCCTGCAACTCCTTAGGAGCCATACGGTACGGGGCTTTGGATACTGGACCGGCCCCTGGAATAAGGTCTATAGAAAACTCCACCTGACGGTCGGGCGGTCCTCCTGGAAGCTCATCTGGGAATACGTCCCCAAACTCTCGAACGACTGGGACATCGTGAGGTGAACGCGCTCTCTGAGAATCATCAACAAGGCTTACCAGGTAACCCTGGCAGTTGCCTCGTCGCAATAACTTAGTGGCTTTCGCCATCGAAACAACATGAGGCAAAGAACGGTTTCTGGAGCTGAAGAAAGTAATCGACTCATCTCTCGGAAGATAAAGAGTGATCTCCCGGTCATGACACTTGATATCTGCATGATAGAAGGATAGCCAATCCATTCCGAGAATCAGGTTGAAGTCCTTCATCTCGAGGACAAACGCGTCGGTAGGCAAAACTCGGCCACCGATGGAAAGGCTAAGATCTGAGGCTTTAGCTGAAGTCACTATCTTTCTTCCCGAGGCCAAACTCACCTCGAGAGGATCGATAGCAGTAGTAGCGCGAACTCCGATGGCATCAAGACATCGTCGTGAAATGAAGGTATGAGTAGCTCCGGTATCAAACAAAGCGAATACAGGAACATTATTAAGAATAACCATTCCGGACATGGTACCTGGCTGCTGTTCGGCCTCTGCCTGATCGATGGCGTAGACCCTGGCCTGCTGTCTACCCCTCTGCTGCTGCTGCTGAGGCTGCCTCTGTGCCTGCTGACGGGGCTGCTGCTGCTGCTGTGGCTGCTGAGACTGCTGAGCCTGCTGAGGCTGCTGCCCCTTCTTCGGAAAACGGTTCGCGAAGTGTCCGGGCTCATGGCAATAGAAGCACACATCCTGACCAAAGCGACACTCGCCTCGGTGATGTCGTCCACATGTCGGGCACTGTGGAACCTGCTGAAGTCTCTTCTTGGCCCTCTTATCTGACTGGGCACCCTTATCCTTCCTCTTGTTGTTCTTGGGCGGCTGGGTGGATGGCAGAGCTGACATCGGTGGAACTGAAGATGACAGACCACGAACGGCCTCCCTCCTAAGGCTGGCATCCACCTCCTGAGCGATGGAGACTGCACAAGCATACGTCTGTGTCCCGTTGCCTACGATGTTATGACGGACTGCTGGGTAAAGTCCGTCAATGAAACGCTGCGCTCGCTGGGCCTCCGTGCGGACCAGATCAGGTACAAAAGCTGCAAGTCTCGTGAACTCTCTCTCGTACTCGTCGACAGTACGAGTACCCTGCCGGAGCGATAGAAACTGGCGCTCCATCTCTGCTCGGTAGTAGATGAGATAGTACTTCTCACGGATCAAGTCCTTGAGCATCTCCCACGTACATCCCGCTTTCT